AAGTTGTAGCACTTTTGAACATTTTCATAGGAGTTAATGTATAGCAACATCGTCTTTTATGGCGAGGGATGCGTTTCCATGGAAACGGCATATGATGACACCCGATAATTGCTGAGGGCTTTTGAGGGCAGGACCATTAACCATTATCTGAAATCTGCTGCTCTACGCACTCTAAAATCTGAAGAAGGCCTCTTTACCAAAGTCTGAACAATGTTTAATATCTCTAAAAGTACGAATCAGATTTAAAAGTTGTGTTACGCGAATTATGTCAGAAAGATGTGTAACATTTTAAAGTTGGAATGAGGTTTCTGAGTGAAAGTATGAAGGAGCAGTTAGCAGTTGAAGTTGCATGACTTCAATGTTAAAAATGTGATGAATTATGGGATGTATCTCTGGAATCATGAAAGTTATGAATAAGAAGTAGTAGCCATCGATTCCCGACCGAGCTGAACGTTTTGATGTTTGAACAGAGTTTCTGCGATGTGGAATGTGGGAGAAGAAGAGGTGCAAAATAACCCGGCGGAATAATAAAGAATGTTGTGCGTAGCATAACAGATAGTTGGAATGCTGTATCACCATTCCCACTAAATGAATTAGGAGAGGAATTAGAAAATGTCCATTTTATTTACTTCAGGTGGTTTCGTCAATTATGTTTTGGCACCTACTTGGATGGAAATGAGTGGGTGGCAGATTAAGGTTTTTATCAGATTCTACGTGTTTTAGTTCACAAGAGGAATTAACAATTAATTTTCCAACTAAAAGGCATCAACAGGACATTAACATATTGAGATAAAGGAAAAATATTGAAGGAGAATCTATTTCGACATTATTAGCAGGCTGGGTTGCACTTCACCTCGGGTCAGATTTAATGGATTTCTCTCTAAACTCCGTGGGGTTTCAACACATTCACATGCAAAATATTAAACACTTTGATGCTGCAGCTTTGAAGAAGTCTCAGTTCCTCTGGATCAAAGCAATGAATACTATCAGACTTCATCAGGATCATAAACACATTAATCTGAACCTTGGAAATATTTGAGTGTTTATTCAAGAAAACAGTGTTTATTCAAGGAAACATTTGAACATTTCTCCACAGTTTCTGCAGAGCATACTTACTGATGCACTTAGGTCTTGACAGTATATCGGACAAGATATGTTAAGATGCTCAGAATTTGTCATGAAAATAAACTAAATTGATTTCTCAACTAATGTCCTTAAATACAACGTCGAGGTACAGAAAATACCTACATTTTTCTCCCCCTTGAGAAATGCAACAGTTACCTTCTTTCTGAGTCATTTTTAATCCAATAGCACCACCTGTAGGTCAAACACGCTCAATACATGTTACACTGCTTTACTTTATGGTCTTTAGGTACAGGTGAATAGATACAAACATATTTAACTAACATATATCATCATGAAACCTCCCCACTTCATTAGTGACATTATCACAATTATGTTTTGCATTACAAGTTTTCTGAAATGTCATGTTTACATATGCAAATGAGGCATTATGTAATGATAACCTTTGGTGAATTTAGGAGAAATCTGCAGACACAAACAGACAAAATAAATAAATAATTGATTACAGGTTTTCACAAGTCTAAAAGAAGACAAACAACAACATTTTTTATTCATTTGAATTATTTCAACACAACCATCCTCCCCTCTCCCCACCTGACTGTGACGTCACACCGGAAGTCTGTTTCTAACAGACATGGCGTGTTTGCTAGCCGTTAGCAGCATGAGCTCCTCAATGTTTTCTTTTATAAAACGTCGCTCCTCATGGATACTCTGTTTGTTTCTAGTGATTCATGTGTCGACATCCTCCGCTAAGCTGGACAGCCTGAGAGAAGTGACGGACAGCAGCTGGGAGGAAATCTTGTCGGGAGAATGGATGATAGAATTGTGAGTGTGCTAATGCTAACTGCTAATGCTAACTAGCCTGTCAGTTAGCTATTTCCAGCTCCTAAAATCGGGCTTGACTTCCCTTAATCCTTTTTAGGTCAACCTTTTAGTTTATTTTGTCTGTTTGTGTCAGCAGAAATAATAATAAATACATTTAAATATGATTCTATGAAAAATAAATAAATAACAACAGAAGAATAAAACATGTTTGAACTTATACAAGGTGAAAAAACAAACAAACTCGCATTTATAAATCCTTACTGGGAACAAACAATAATAATAATAATAATAATAATAATAGTCAAGGCTATATTTCAAGCTTAATATGCAAATAAGTGATTTTTTTTTATCAACTAAGATTTGTTAGAAAATGTACTGAATTTATTTTAAAAGTGGGCTTATAACACTTGAATACAATGAAGTACAATATAGTACACGTTTCATGTTTGGCCCATATTCCACTTTAATTTAATTTGTAAAAACATAACAAGGATATGTAAAGAGAACTGGGGCCTGTTCATTCCTATGGGAGCTACCGGCTAGCTGCTAACGGCTAACTAGCCTGTCAGTTAGCTACTTCCAGCTTCTAGAAACGGGCATGACATCCCTTATAAGTTTAGGTTGACGCTTAAATTGTCTATTTTACCTAAAGATACAATAAATAAATATGATAAACGATCAATATGCCTGGTTGTAATCCTGAAAAGTAGCTGAATCTAAGCTAATAGCTGTCACCTTCACTGAGCTAACTAGCATACCACAGAGTTCCATGCTAGCCAGATTGTTATGCTAACTCTTAAAGTAAACACTTGGGGTGTTTCAGCTTGTAATTGGTTTATTTTACAAATTTACCACAAACTCAATATCATATTGCACTTAGTAAACTAAATGGAAACAAAACAAATGCATAAATAAAAAAACTATGGGAAATCACAACATAACAAAATTAAAACATGATTTAAACTATGATACAGACATTAGACAGACACCTTATTGTGAGGGATGTTGTTGTTTATCTGAGGCTTGACTTGTGACCCCCCCAGTTACGCTCCCTGGTGCCCAGCCTGCCAGCAGCTCCAGACGGTGTGGAAGGATTTTGCAGATTGGGGGGATGACATGGGGGTCAACATCGCCAAGGTGGACGTGACCGAGCAGCCCGGTAAGACTCAGTGACCTCTGCAGCTACACTGGGACTTTACATGCAACAAATACACATGCACTTCTGCAGCTACTTTACATGCACTTCTGCAGCTGCCCTGGGACTTAACATGCAACAAATACACATGCACTTCTGCAGCTACTTTACATGCACTTCTGCAGCTACACTGGGACTTGACATGCAACAAATACACATGCATGAGGGCAATGGAAACCCTTAAAAACACTCCACAAATACACATGTTAAGAAAAGGGTGCAAAGTATACTGCTGTTGAAGCCCTATAAAAACAGCCATGTTTAAAAAAAAATGATTGCTACATTTGATTTGTTTTATCGAGTTCATAGTTTCTAATGTCATTATCTGAAAGGCTTTAATTTTTAACAGTGTGCATACAATGTAGGAAGTATAAGATGCAAAGTCTACTAGGTACGGAAGCCTTAAACAAACATGGGTCAAACATTTTATTTACTCTGTTTTCCCCATTATAATCAATATTTTGTTTTGTTGAGATCACAAATTATTTGTTAATATCTCAAAATAACTAATGTTGTTTTCCCAAGATCATGGGATAAGATCATGAATTCAATATCATTAGAAAACAAAGAAATGCAACGTAATATACCTTTATCTCGTTGTAACTAATAAATATATTGTGATCTCAGGAAAACCTCACGGGGAAAGGGAGGAAATGAAATGTGTGAAACGTGGTCTTTTAGAGATTACAACCTGAAATATCTGTGTGTGCTTTGAAACCGTGATACTGACTCAGTGTTACTGTAATTCACTGTGTTGTGTGTCCGTGTTTTAACCCAGCTCTGTATTAAATGTCCTCTCTGTCTCTCTGTCAGGTCTGAGCGGGCGCTTCATCATCACTTCACTTCCGACCATTTACCAGTAAGTTCTGAGTAACTGTGTTTTATCACTTCCTCTTGTGGTGTCAGTAAAGCGGATGTACACCATTTTGAAAAATGTGGCTCTTAATCCCAGTTTAGATCATCAACTCTGTTTCCTTTCTCTCCATTTTGAAGTGTCTCCATCTTATGTCTGCACAACTTACTTTAACTAATCATTAGTAAGGACAACACATCTCACTTGTTTTAATTAAAGGAGGGTATGAATACATGCACATTGTAGGGAAGCAGGTCATTTTTAACCATTGGATTATATTATTTATTCTGATTAATCATTTGCCGGTGACATATAAGGAAATATATACCTTAAACGTCGAAATAAATATGATTTAATCCCTGATAAAAATGTATAAAATAATTTAATAATAATAAAATAAATTTAAAAATAAAAAATGTGTTTTATGCTTTAAAATGTATGTAAAATGCTGCTTTGTCCTCTAAAAGTTTTAAAATAGTTTTAACCTTCGTGAAAATCACTTAAATACCACCAGCAGACACCAACACATCCTGTGATCGCAGAGTTTCCTTTCTGTTTTCAGTGTAAAAGTAATTTCTGTATAAAGTAAACATCCAAAATGTTTTACGCTTCAGATTCTGGTTTTACTTTGAAAGATGCCTCGTTTCTGCTAGATCATAACCTTTATATATACAGTCTATGATCATAACCTTTATATATACAGTCTATGATCATAACCTTTATATATACAGTCTATGATCATAACCTTTAAATATACAGTCTATGATCATAACCTTTATATATACAGTTTATGATCATAACCTTTATATATACAGTCTATGATCATAACCTTTATATATACAGTTTATGATCATAACCTTTATATATACAGTCTATGATCATAACCTGCTCCATTGCAGAGAAAATGTGCACGTATATATTTGTACAGATGTACCCATTTTGCTGTTTCATTCTTTATGCTGTCCCTCAACACAATAACTCCCCAGCAGCTAAACACGTGTGTCTGGCCATGATATATCCCTCACAGAAAATAGGGCTCAAGTCGCCTCACTGTTCCTAATGTATGTTTTGTTTATTTGTGTCATAGCTGTAAAGACGGCGTGTTCAGGAAGTATCAGGGCGCTCGCACTAAAGAGGACTTCCTGAGCTTCGTGGACGAGCAGAAATGGAAATCCATCGAGCCGATCTCTTCCTGGTTCGGCCCGTCCTCCTTCCTGTGAGTAAATTCAAACACTTCAAGATTCAAGGCTTTTATTGTCATTCGTACAGAAGCTACAGTTTAGATATATCAATGAAAATCTTAGGTCCCAGGTTCCAACAGTGCAACACAATACAACCAGTGTTGGGTGTAACGCGTTACAAAAGTAACGGAGTTACAGTAATGTATTACTTTTTGCTGTAACTAAGTAATGTAACGCATTACTAATTAAATGTGTGTAATATACTAGCCGTTACATTTCTCAGTAACGCAGTTGCAACACATTTTAAACCGAAATTCAATGGTTTTTTGTTTTTTAAGAATTCACTAACATCGTGAGACATTCCGACACCAGAGAAAATTGTGCGGGTAGATTAGTAATAGGGATGCCAGTGATTATTGGATTATTCGAATATTCGTTACAGTCTTCATAATCTAATATTATTTTTAAAAATCGATTTTATTTATATATTTTTTTATTATTATTTATGTTTTTTTTTTTTTTCTCTGTCTTAGTTTCAACCAAAATATAGACTAATGCTAATAATATGAATAGTATTAATAATTGTAAATGGCCATTGGCCACACCACCAGTTTGTTTTACTGTAAACTTGGAGGAAGTCTGCGTGCAGAGCAGACTGCTGCTGCAGCACGCTACACACCGCCCCCGCCCCCACCCCCCCTCTCCCTCACACGTGCGACTAAAGATGAACAAAGCGGCAGGTAAAAAGAGTTCCTCCTCGTGGAACTACTTCAAACTTACAAGTCCAAAGAAAGTTAAATGCAAGCTCTGCGAAAAGACGTTGGTCTAAGAGGTTACAGAGAAGACGCAGCACTGCTGCNTGTTGGGAGGCGGAGGGGAGTGGGATCCGCTCCAGGTATTCCGTGCAGCTGGGAGTGTAGGTGAGCGGGGGAGAGTGTAAGAGGAGCAGTAGGAGTTGCGTTCTGATGACGCGTCAGGTGTGCGACACTGCGTTGCGTGGAGCAGATGGATGCAATGGATTGTCCGTGCTGAATGTAAACAAAACTGTGGCGGGTGCTTCGGTGAATGTAGCGGGGTCGACGAAGGAGTCCAAGATGTCTGATGACTGAGATGGAAGACGGAGTGGAGGAGTTGGTCAATGACAGCAGCTGTGAGATGGAGTATTTCAGCATGATGACAGGCGGAATGGCTGGGAGCAGTGTGATGGCAGCGATAGCAGCTAGCCGGCTAGGTTCACAGAGGTGGAGGATTATTGTGGAGACGAGGAAGATCCACGACATGGCAGGAGGATGTGAGCAGCGGGACGGTACAGATGCACCCCAGAGATGAAGGCAGGAGGCAGAGAGAGTCCACAGTTGTTGCGTGGGACGGAGACAGACAGTAGGCGATGTAGCAGATAGCAATAGCCACCCGGCACTTTGATGGCTACGTGAGGGCAGCCGGCTACAGCCAGCAACGGAGGCAGAAGTCCAAAATAAGTAAAAATGTAAAAACAATGTGCATTGCATTAAAGATGTGTAATGCAGGGCAGTGGTCCAATTTGAAAGATTGAAGAACGAATGGTAGCTGAGGGTGATAGAGGGTGACAGAGGCGGAGAAGCGGCGAACAGTCAACGCCAGCGTCCTCTCCAGCAGCTCGGTGTGTTGAATGCCTACGTGATGGTAGATCTTGTTTCCACTAAAATAATGATATGGTTTGATTATGAATATACTAAACCTGAATACATTACATGTCACTTATTTGACGCTTTTATCCAAAGCAACTTACATACTAAATCCCCACAGGAGCAATATGGGGTGAAGTGTCTTGCCCAGGGACACAACGACATGCTGACTGCAGTGGGGTTTGAACCTGTGACCCCCTGATCCGAACACCAATGCACAACCCACTACACCACACGCCACAACCTCTGTGAGTTGGCTGTGTCCTACAAGTATTACAAATGTACACAATGTTTTGCTTAACGTCTCATACTTTACGGCTAACTCCGACAAAGTAATCAACTTTAACCCAGTTCCAACCTTATATTTTACATGTTTCTTGTTCATGCACATGAGTTTACATTAACAGGAGATTTCAAGTCTTTGACACAGAAAAACAAGAATCTCCATATCACCCAGCATAATAATAAGTGTGAGTGTCATTGTCTAAGTGATGCATCTTTGCTGTGGTGTTCACACCTTTTATTTGAGATAATGTTAAGGCTCTCACATCTGTTAGCAAGCTAACAGACAGTTTTAATATGCAAAACATAATTATGAACAATCACAAAAGGCTCCACTGTCACATGATGTAAGATTATTAAACCTACTTGCACTAAGCGATATGAAACCCTAATCTCTTTTTTTTCCATAATCTTTTTATTGCATTGAAATGTGCTTTTAATTAATTATTCAGTTTCATTACAGCAGAGAGCACGAGCAAGGGCAGGCAGCAAAAGTTATTTTATCAAATCGTGTCCTTATAGAGCTCTCCTGCTCATATAGCATAAGTAATTCAACATTATCTTAATTAAATCAATAATATTACCTTCATTGTGCCTGATTTAATTGCATGCTAATACATCCACTGAGATTTATTTCTCTTTTTTATAACCCTGTTTGTATTTCTTTCTTTAATTTAGACGACCTTGAGGTGGAAATCCCTGTGTGTCCTTCATTAGTAATTAACAGCTGTGTGCTTGTCCCTTAGAGATGTTCAGATGTCTGTTGCCTTTGTCCCCCCCTCCCCCTCTGAACTGGTGCAGGTGCTGATGGTCTCCAATTCTCTGCGAAGCAGGGGGGAAATTATCGGTACCTTTTGAACTTCACAAACCCCCAGTGTGAGATAAAATAACTTGAATTTCATTCCCGAAATTAACGCCTGCAAGAATACGGTGGAGCTTTCTCTGGGACGCCAGCAGATGCCACTCAAAATGAGATAGAGACTCCCAGCGTTCCCTCTACTGGGGTTTACTGTCAAATATCCATAATTTTCTCATAATACAGGGAGAATATCTCTAAAGGCAGATTGCATTGTCGTGAATATTAGCCTTGAGCTCTAGCTTGTGTTTGCATACAGTCTGTTATTAAATTACAATCATCTGTTACTTAATTAAAAAGAACATTGGTATCCACTAATGATGTGTTCCGAGGTTGATGAGCAAACAGAAGCTGTTGTTTTCCTGGCACACATCCTCACTCTGTGTTTGTTCCAGGATTTATAAAGTTATGAATGTCTGCACAAATCCAAACAGATCACTGTTATAATGCTACTGCAAGGGTTAAAACAATGTGACCAATGTTAGTTTAAGCTTTTATAATTTTCCTTTATTTTGCATTACAGGCTCCACTTTGATATGTTGTATTCTGTATTTTTCAAATACGTAACAAAAGCAGTAGACTGTTTGTTACCCTTTGTTCCCTCCAATAAAGAGTGGCCTTGGTTAGGCTTCAGATGTTTTTACTGGATGCAATGACTACTAACATATAACTACAACAAAGCATTACAGTTTGATGGCTCTAAAGTTGAATCAAGCTTTATCAAGGACACTTTAATCAACCAACAACAGTTTGAATTCAAAGGGGACTACAATTACAGGGGAAAGAAATATTCCTCTCTAATAAAACTCGTAATTCCAGACAGCATTTTAACCATTGCAAGAGCCTAAAGATCATACCAACACCTAACAGATAATGTTAAACACAGTAATACATGTAGTAAAATGAAATCCATTACTAGGAATTTAGCAGAAAATGTATTAGCAACAAAGACAGCTGTCTAATTTTAGGAACCGGTGGGCTTGGAGCAGAATGTATTGAGAGACACTTCAACATTTGGTTAGTTTAAATCGATTTTAACGAAAATCATACATTCAATATTAGTACATATATACAATACAAGAGAGGAAAACATATATAAAAGGAATAGAACAAATGATTAAAGCCGGAAACCTGGAAGCAGTGACCCACAGTTGTTCAGTGTGTCGGTGAGGACAAAGGATAAAAGACCCACAATGCACCAGCGGAGGTTCAGCACCTTGGACAGTGACCGCCACACGTGGCTCCCCAGGAGAAGAAAACAGGATGTAAACCTGTAGCCCCGGGCCCGGCCGGTGAACCACAGCAGAGCAGAGCAGAGGAGGCGGGGAAGGTGAGACACTCCACAGTCTGCATGCTGCTCTCACTATTGTTACTCTGACTCCATGTCCAGGACTCGCAGGTCAACTGTGCTGCCTGTCCATCATCCTCCAAACAACTGGACTGGAAACATAACCAAGCTGGGGCAGGAAAGACATTCTGATATTGGTGGATAAGGTACACCAGAGAAAGAACAGTATATTATAGGGAGAATGAGGTACTACGGGAACTAATTAAGGCAATGCATATGCATTGGGTTCTTTTTTTGTAATTCAATGTATTACATATGTTCCTAGTCAGACATAACAAGGGCAATGCACATGCACACAAAGAAACAAAACAAACAGAAGGAGTAGGGTGGGGAAAGGATTACAGTGTTAATTGATTTTATATCATGGTCATTATATATTACAAACATATTATTTGTATTTATTATGTGTCGCCATTTGACATGTAATGTGTAAAACATGAAGGTGCAATGTGCATGCATGTAGGAACACATCAGTACATGGTCCATCCAGCTAAATATATATATACACTTTCTTGCATGTATTAGAATCAATGGGAAACCCTTTATTTTGCAAGCTTCATTGTGGTTTGCACCACTGATGAATGCAAAACAGATAATACAAAAGTACTATGAAGTTCATTCAAAATATTGAAATGTGATTCAAACAGTTCGCTACAACAAAACAATGTACCACCATCAGTGTTGGGTGTAACGCGTTACAAAAGTAACGGAGTTACAGTAATGTATTACTTTTTGCTGTAACGAATTAATGTAACGCATTACTAATGGAATTTGGGTAATATACCCATTACAATTCGCAGTAACGCAGTTATAACAACTTTTTCTCCCGAAATGAAATGGTGTTTTGTTTTTTAAGAATTTACCAACATCGCGAGACATTCCGACACCAGAGAAAAATTGTGCAGGTAGACTAGTAAGCCTGGTGTTTACCCTTCAGGCTGATCAAGATCCCGCCGCTTCGCTTCGGGTTCCCTGATCAACCAGTCGGGTGTTCTTTTCCCCATAATGACCGCCTCGCTGCACATTATCCCGCTTATTACACGGCCATATACTAAACAAACGAGTATTCAACTAAGCCGTGTAATAAAAGTTGTTAGTATCCTTAATGGCCTACACAGTTGTTATGCTACCACATTGCCCTTCACTAATGAGCTGCACTAAACTACATTTTAGCATTTAAAATACCTAGCCATTCTTTTGCGGGTATTTTGGAAAAGTAACTCAAAAGTAATATAAAAGTAGTGTAACTCATTACATTTCAGAGACAGTAATATTGTAATGTAACTTGTTACTTAAAAAAGACTGTAATATATACTGTATTACATTTTGGAAGTAACTTGCCCAACACTGAATACAACATATAAAATAGTGCAAGTAAATACAATCAAATAGAGTAGAAGTAGTGCCGTACGAGTCTATATACAAGTGGTACATCATGTGTAAGTTGCAAACAGGTGAATGTTATGATGTTCTTGGTTCAGGTGTTTAACAGGCTGCTGGTGATACATGTGAGGATGGAGTGATTGTTAATGAAAACTATGATCAAATATGATTAACACAATTTTTTTATCATGACTAAAATAAGACAATAAAGTTGATGCAATTAATATAACAGGTTTTTCTTCTAGAAAATTGTAGTATGAGGGCAACACTGATTATACGCTTATCTTGTGTATAAGATATATAAATTCTCGTGTGTAAAAAACTAAAAATCTATTCTTAGCGTCTTTTTCTGTCAGTTTAATCTCCTCCTTGATGTTTGTTATTCTCTGTGTAGAAGTTACAGTCTGAATAACCTTCTGTTGTTTCTTCCTCTCACAGAATGAATTCCATGTCGGCTTTGTTCAAGCTCTCCATGTTTATCCGGGTAAGTGAGGGTCTATCCGCTCGCTGTCAACACAGGAGGTTTATTGTAGGAAGATATTTATTTAAATTCTCATAATCCATTTAAAGAAGAATAGTCTGCTTGGTGGGACATAAAGGAGGGAATCAGAGCGGCTTTTATCTGCACAACAAAACAGAACAAATCCAGTTTTACAGGATACAAACACGTACAAAAGGCAACCTCATGTGAAGCACAGATAGGACGTATTTAAGGGCGCACTTATAGGAAACTCGAAGCTGTTAAACTTAATTAAAGAAATGACGCAGTGGAGCAGGATTTAATCAGGTTATAGACAAAGCAGATCTCTTCTGCTATATGACATATTATTTCCATTATCAATTCGCTCTCATATTTCTTTTTTTACTTTTTATTTATTGACTTAGTTTTAGGAATTTATTGGGGACTATTTTCAGCTGCAGATTGGTGATCACCTGAGCCAACAGCCCAGATATTTAGTATTTTAGTTAATGTGTTAAAGGGGACCTATCATGCAAAATGCACTTTTTGATGTCTTTTATACATAAATGTGTCCCCGGTGCATCGGGGAACTCACGCAGCGTCAGAAAATAAAACCCCCTCTCTTTTCCTCCGTACCCAAATCTCTAAAAACGGGGGAACAGCGGAGCTGATCCAGATTTGCGTCCGATATGACGTAATATCTGAAATGTGGACCCACGGCCCTATCAGAAACGTTGCTATCAGAAACAATGCCCGACTGTTTTGGACGTAATATGGTCGGTGTTTACATTAGCATCGCTAACACTCAGAGCTAACCTGTACTGGAGAGCATGTGTGTGAAGAAGCAGGAATTAAAAAG